TCCTGAACTACAGTTGCCCTGGAAAACTTGGTCTGTTTCAGTGATGTGACCTGTAATGTATTAGCATTTATTACCTCATTTGGAGCTTATAAAATACTGTGTCTGAAGGTTGCAAACTGCTTATTAATTTCATTAAGCAGATGCCAGATGTATTTTTCCTTATAGTCTTCATGGGATTGGAGGGGATGTGCATTCTATACTGACCCTTACATTTGTATACATCATACACACACAGTCAACTCCATTCCTTTCAAATGCAGTTGTACAAAAAGAAACAGAAAAGGTAATGCAGCATGTGCTTTCCTGCCAATCTTCCTCAAAATATGGTAGGGAGAAATTACCACCCATTTTCTGGTTTTACTCTAGGATACAATTAAGGTGTAACACTTTCCTTCACAGTCTCACAGCTGAACCAAAAATGTGGGGAATTTTTTGCAGTGGCATTGATGGAGTTACCCGGAGTCTTGTCACTACATTCTCACAGGCAGACTTAGTTGCTCCAACGTTTGGAGGTTTTTTTCAGTTAATTTGTGAAAATGAAAACAGTGGATAATTTAGGTTAAAAAAAAAAGGATTTAGAATGCCATTTTTTTCTGGTTGTCAGCCTTCCATTTATCTACCCTGTGGGTTTCTGTTCTTCAGCCTCATCTTACTAATGATATCTATGTAATACTTTGACAGAAGGGAGAGAGAAATAAAATGCCCAACTTAGTTTTTCTTTTGACAAAATGTACAAAAAATACACTTTATAGAAGTGGTCCCCTTTAGATTTGAAAAAATTAATTAGAATATATTTTTAAATATATTTCCTTTCTTCACCTTATTAGATGTTAATCCATTTGATTTTAAGAAATTATATAGAATTATCATTTGGTCCTGCTGCAACTTTAATACTAATCATAGCACACAGAAGAATATACATCATGAACTGATGAACCTGGTGTAATATTACTTTCACTTTCTAGATATACAGAAGCATATTCCCTGCTACCAGCTGTTCAGGTAAGAGTCTTAAGTAAACAGATACAAACCCCCTAACTGAACTCTTCAGGAGTTAAACTTATATTACATTACTTGAGAAAATCACCCAATGTAACTATAGTAGCCATATCAACCTCTTGGAATAACAGATGGAAAATGCCTTATGTTATTCCTATTTTTGTTCATCATATCTTTTTTTTTGGTGTTTGCCTATGTATATGGAAATAGAGATATGACACAGAGTACCTTCTGGTGAGCTATAATACCATATAAATTAAAGAATAATATCAACATACTGAAAAAAGCACTGCTTTACTAAAAGCATACATTCTCAACACTCACCCTCAAAAGTGATAATAAAAAAGTTTTAAAAAGGAAATAAAAAGGTGGCATCAGCCACAGGCTTCTTTGTGGGTCAGTAAAAGAAACACATGTTAGCCCCATTGCAGGAGTAGTTTCAAAAACCAGTATTCAGAGTTCCATCAGAGATGGGAACACAGCTGTGCAGATTTACACCCCCGTACGGGGAGAATCAGTTTCCTTCTCAAGCCTTTCTGAAAATTAATAAACCCAGCTGTTATTAGAAATGCATTTTATATCAAATTGAAGGCATCTTATTGTTTTGTAGTGGAGAGAACACAGGTGCTACTTTTAACTTGTATCCCAGTAGCACTGATGCCAGAACAGCAGAGAAGCTGTGGCAGCATACTATTATGCTTCATAGGAGGGGGAAAAAAAAACTAATAAAGTGAGAAGATTGCCAGAATGCTAGGGAATAATTAATTCTACAGTAGCTTTTTTCCCCCTCTAATTGTCCTAATTTTCTTCTTCTAGCTTTTATAATTCTGCAGGAGAACTGAATGAACCTGCCCTGAAGAAAATACTATCGGGCTGTAAGAAGGTATTTTGTTTTCCAATCTAAACCATACTGAGGAGCTCACTGAAATTTTGGAGGCTGTTCTGGATACCTTTTCCATCAAGCTTTTTTTCTCTCCTCATTTTAAATCATTTATCTAGTCCCATATGCTGCTGGTCAAGGCAGATGTATCATCTCTTCCCCCTTAAAAAACAGAATAGGTTATCTTTGGTATAAATATGTAGGGTTTGCCTACATATACGTCACAACTTTATTTGTTCTTAATAATTTCCCAAGTGAACACTTCAAGTATCCCAAAGGAATTCTACCAATTTCTAGCTTAAGATGAGTTGAGGTCAGCTCACTCAAATGTTAAGCACCATTTGATCAAAAAAAATTAGTCTTCTCCACAGAAGAAATTTTCATAGGGGGAAGGTACAAGCTGAGAAGAAACAAACCACAAAATACCAGAACAAAGTTTGCAGAGTTTCAGCTTGAGCACAAGCTCAGAAACCGGCCAGTTCTACACGGTTTTGAAGGAAAGAAGTTGCCATACTGGAATTAGGCTTAGATATTTTAAAGGTTTCAAGTTAAATGCTCTAATATGTACATATCACCAAACAATTCAGACTTGTGACTTTGTACTGTATCAGTCTTCCTTCAGTGTGACACACAGGGACAGCACAATTTAACACTAACAGTGACTTTTCTTCTGCCTACAGAATGTAATAGGATGGTACAAATTCAGACGCAACACAGACCAGACCATGACATTTCGGGAGAGACTTCTCCATAAGAACTTGCAGTCACACCTATCAAATCAGGGTCTTGTATTCCTTCTCTTAACCTCTAGTGTGATGACAGAAAGTTGTTCTACTTACAGACTGGAACATGCCTTACATCGGCCACAGGAAGGGTAATAATTGCTTTGTTTTCTACAGCATGTGCTCTAACTTGAAACAGTTGTTTGGTTTTTTTTACTTTGTTGCAGATGAATTATTAACACTTTATTTTACTCTTGAAAGTTATACATTAAATAAGATCCCTCCTTATATTGCTAGAGCACGGTTCAAAGTTTACCCTGGGACTCTATTTTGGGATGTCCCTTTGTATCTGTAGTGCCAGCATCACCAGGCAGACACTGTCAGCATACTTAAGTACATAAGCTGTTCTTGATCAAATTGGTTTTCTGTATAGGACTTCAACCATACATGGTGTTTATCTTGACTGATTAAGATATTTAAATTGGTGGTAACTACTTTCAGAGGCATGCTGCCCACAGGCTAGGCTTAACAAGCAAGTACTGCATTATTGTGTATTCTACTCAGAAATGGGAAAACATACAGGCTCAGTGTTGGTTGCTCCTGGAGTTTGCCTTTAGCCTCATCTATGTGTGATGTAATGCATTTAGCAAGGACTAACTATACTGTAAACCTTCAACTGGGATGCTTAATGGTCAAGAACATTTAACTATCAAAAAAGAAGCCTCTGGGATGTTAATAGATCGCGTTTTCACACTTCTGCTTTTTAAGCCTTTTCCAGAAAGTCCCTTTGGTGGTTACCAATCTGGGTATGGCAGAACAGCAAGGCTACAGAACAGTGTCTGGCTCCTGCGTATCTTCTGGCTTTGTGAGAGCAGTAAGACAACACAGGTACAATGCCATATTGACTGACAGCTGTTGCTTCCTGTTAACATAACTATACTTACCTTTCTATAAAAGCATTTAAGTGTTTTTGCAAATGCTACAGCTATATCCTGCTCACTTTTTGTCCTCTGTCTGCAATTATTTAGCATTCCAACACGCTTGGAAACTAGTTCAGTCCCATACTCTGCCAGGTGAGCAGCTGTCTGTCTCAAGCACCTGCTACTGCAGTTCAAAATGCTTATATATTCATTAAAGGTCCTACTAAGTAAGAACTAGGATAACTAACTTGCAATTATATAGTTACATTCTTGGCCCACAGGTCAGAGTTCTTTCACGAAGATGGATCCTTGCAAGAGGTTCATAAGATAAATGAGATGTATGCCACCTTGCAGGAGGAACTGAAGGTAAGCCAGGCATCATACCTGCCTCACCTTCGGCAGTACTACAAAACTGAGTCAAGCAGGGGGCACAACATCTTGCACTACATGAGAAACAAACCTGTGTCTTGGAAGGGCACCTGAAAGATCAGGGAGTTCCATTTACTATCAGCAGCTGCATGCTATGTTGTCAAAGTTGAAGACTTAAGGTTCCATTTGATAAAAGTACACCGATAAACCTTCAAGTTCACAAATAAATTCTCACAGGAGGATTATTTTGAAGGAGTAGTACCTGTAGTTTGTTAGATCTGCTTTGCTCAGACGGGAGCAAATAAAACATCCTGCACCTCATTCCAACACAAGGTTTGTGATCTCTAAAATCCACCTCAGGCTCATTACTTAAGCTTTTTACTACTTTGTGTCCAACCTAATCGTTGGTACCTTTAAGGATTTTGCAACAAGGTTAAAGTCAGCTTCTGTGAATACTGTTAATCTGATAAAATGCTCTGTTTTTCCTTGAAGAAAATATGCTTTACAGTAGAAGTCAGTGAACGATCTGTAGAGAAACTCTTAGCAGAGGTGAAGCAATTAAAAGAAGAAATAAAGAGGAAAAAGCAACAAAGTTGTTCAGGTAAGTTAACCAAATATAATGCCAGCTTTAGACTTCCAAAGTTTGTTCAGTTAGCAGAAAACACTTCTGAACTTGAGGCAGCCGTGGTAGGAAAAACAGCAGTGGTAGGAGTGTGCAAGAAGTTTTGCAACTAACTTTTTTTTTTTTTTTTTTCCCCCCCAGGAGAAGACAGGGACTACACAGGAGAGCCAAAGGAGAATGTTCTCCTTTGTCAGGCACTGCAAACATTTTTCCCCAACTCTGGACTTCAGACATGTATTGTTTCCTTCAAAGGCCAACAGATATCCAAGAACTGCTGCAACATTAACCATAATATTAATGTCACGGACAAACTGACTCTCATGGTAGAGGAAAGAGACTTCATTGAATTTGAAACAAGACATCTAACGAAGCGTAAAGTCAGAGGGACCAAAACAGTATCAAAGTCATTCAAGAAATCCAGAACATTGCAGCTTCACCGGGAATCACCTGCAGACCCAGAGGACAGTGACCAGGACAGGAAGCTTACGCTGAGCAGCACTGAATCAGACGAGGATGTGTTGGAAAAAAATAGAGACACAAATGAATACCCACACTCTCCTACTTTCTGATCTGTTAATGATTTGTCAGATGACTTCACACCAAAAGCTACTGCCAGCATATTCAAGTGATGTATCAATTTATAGCACTGCAGGGATGTATATAACATAGTGCATTTCTGCAAAACATACAGGGTTTGTTTGGGGTTTTTGTCCAGTGTATGAATCCTGTTCAGCATAACAACATCCAGATGACATTCCCTCATTTTCCCTTCCAGAGTTCCTCTGTAGTCTCTCTCAGGGTTTAAAGACTATGCCAGCAGGATGCTATCAGTCAGATAACCATAATACTGCCTCGAACTAATACAACTTCAAGCTGCTGTTGAAGAAGCAGTACTACCCTTCCCTCAGCAGAAGCTGATGCAGGCAGCACCAAATGAACACAGATAACTTAATTAGCAGTCTACTTGAACTGCCACAATTTAAATACTTTTAATTTATCCTTAGGAAACCAGTAGTTGTTTATTTCCCCCCATCTTACAATCTAGAGAGGGGAAAAAAACAGCCACTCAAAGTTTAACAAGACCTGTGAGTGCAGAAAGGGGTCCAGAAAGCTGCCAGTTTCTATTACTGCCTTAATATTTCATACTTCCTTCAGACAATAAATTTTAGATACTTCATAAAATTAATAAAAACCCAACTGACATCCACCCCTCAGTCAACCATGCACTATGCTAGAAAACCACACTTCCAGTAAGCAAGTATTTGAACATGAAACACAGTTTTATTTTTTATTTCTTTACGGTATATTACTCTGGATACTTGATATTACATATCTTGGGGTCTGTGAGAAATTGTGGGTTCTTAAGCACAACTGGCATAAATCCTGTAAAAAGATAAGATGGAGGTATTCTTAATAGAAAAGTAAGCTTGACTTAGAAAACTCAGAAGCAGAATCATACTTACCAAATACTTGAGCTCTTTTAATGGCTTTTGTAACTTCCCTCTGCTTCTTGTGGCACAAGCCTTAAAGAGATGAATTATTTTCAACACTAAGCAAGCCATTAGTCTAAAGGGTGAAAGGGATATTACTGATAATTCCCTCTATTTTTATCTAAGTCTTCCTAGAAAAATGCACGTGTGCTTTTACTGTTACATACAAAATGCACATAATTAAGGGATGTTTTCATTCCTTGATGCAGGCTACCAAGCCAGAGGAATACTCTTACAAAATGTAGAGTTGGTAGCAATTACTTTTGGAAAGACTGCTGATGCACAGTTACTTAGACTCAGAAGAACATGAATATTAACCAGTAAATTATTTAATTTAATTAATTTAATTTAATACTTCACATACCTGTTATATGTCTGCCATAAATGCAGCCAGTATGAGGAGAAACAAACTGGGAAAGAAGCTACTTAAAAAAGAAAATTACAGTCAATTTAAGAACTTTTTTTTAGATATTTACTTCGTGTTACTACTTGCACTCTATTTTTCTTTTCTTTTTTTCATCTGTTTTCACAAAACACAGTAATACCTAAAGAAAAAGTAGAGCTTGGAACTAGACTATTTTCTTTGGCATAACATTTAAGCTGTATGACAGCTGGATTGTAACCAAGGACTCTATCTGGTAAATGACAAAGTTGTCACACTAACACACAGAACTAGTAGCTTATAACTAGCTAGCTTATAACTACATTATCTGACTCTTAATCTGCACACATTTTCAAGTTTTAAACCCCTACACATATAGATGGATTTTTATGTTTTGGTTTTTGGGGTTTTTTTTTTTTAGTTCTTGTGGACTTCCTACACACACATTTAAAAATAGTAAACCACTTACCTTCATCCAAGGACATGAGTTTTCAAACTCACCTGCACATTCTTATAGTCCACATTTATTTTACATAAAATGCATCTTTTTGGAGGCTCCTTATAGGGGTTCTCCATTTGTATGGGCTGAAATTAGAGAATTATTAACATCTTTAAGCTTCACCAGAAAATAAAGAACATTTGTTAGCTTTAATCCTTCAGGCAAGATACACCTTGAAACCAAAAGAGATATTTAGGGCACCACTGAAGTTTTTAAATAACTTCCCTAATTCTATTTCCCTAACACACTGATTAGTACAGAGCCATCTAAAAGACTTCTCACAGGTAAACAGCCTTTTATATTTTAGTAATAATGGTACTGTAACAAAGCATTCAGTGACATGGAGCTTACACCTTTTACTAGGAAGTCAATATCTGCAGAAGCTGATAAAGAGGTAGCTCTGTCTGATAAGTCACAAGAGTCATTTTTTTGAAGAATTTCAAAGCAAGTGGTCTGAGGGAGCTCCTGACTGCTCACACACTTTGAAGAGATTCCCAAGGACTGAAAGGCTCCTCAAGCTTCAGAATACACCCAACACCAAATCCTCCCAAGAAGTGAAAGAAAGATGTTTCATTTTTCACAGAATTGTTAGGGTTGGAAGGGACCTTTGAAGATCATCCAGTCCAACACCCCTGCCAATGCCGGGTCATCCTATTGCTCAGGAATGCCATCCAGGTGGGTTTGGAATGCCTCCAGAGAGGGAGACTCCACAACCACCCCGTTGTGGCAGGCTGTTCCAGTGCTCTGCCACCCTTAGTGTATAGTTCTTCCTCATGTTGAGGTGGAACTTCTGTGTTTCAGTTTATGGCCGCTGCTCCTTGTCCTGTCACTGGGCACCACCGAAAAGGGTCTGGCACCATGGTCTTGGCACCTGCCTTTGAGGTATTTATATGCACTTTGCAGGCACAGGTAGAATTTTTGGGCAGAGAAGGAATATTTTAAAAAGTTTTTGCTGATGCCAAAACCCATATATTTTTTTTAATGTAAAAACAAACCCATTTTTTAATGTAAAAACGCTCCCTTAAGTCTTTTTCTGAGCTATATACAGGAAACCAGCTGGTGCTACCAAAGGTTTTGCTCCACACTTGGGTTTACTGAGGTAGCAAGTTTAAGGACTACAGTTAGGATACTGAAATACAGATCACTGGTGCTCTATTTCTCAGCGCCCGGTGACCGCCTGCTCCGTAACACAAAGGATGCGCAGCCAACAGAGCAGAGCGTTTTCAGAAGCGGGCTGAAAACGGAGAAACGGGATTTTTCAGCCCGGTCGAATCCCGCCCTGCGCCCCTGCGGGACGGGGGGGTCGGGGAAGCCTCACCTGGTCGGGGTGCGCGGGCTGCGCCTGGGGCTGCCCCTCGTGCTGCAGGCGGCGCGGCCGCGCCCACAGCGCCGCTGCAAAGGAGAGAGCGCGACACGGTTAGCAGCGGGATGCGGCGGGACGGGACGGGGGAAGAAGGGAGCGGGAGGGACGCACCGGGAACCAGCCGGTTCCAAGCGCCCCGCGCCGACACGGCCCTCGCCGCCATGACAGCCGCCCTGCCCCGGCCGCGGCCGCCGGAGCGTCACTGCCGCCGTGGCGGGCTCGTGCCGGAAGTGCCCGCCGCCGCCTCATGGCGGCCGCGCCACCCCCGGCCGGCTGGATATTCCTTCGCCCTGTCCCGCCGCGGCCGTGAGCAGGGGCTCCGCGCAGCCCCGGCCGCGGGGCGCCGGCTGGGGCTGGGACCGGGACCCGGCCATGGCCGAGCCCGGCCTGGCGGTGCGCAGGAAGAGCCGCCCCAGCTCGCAGCGCAAGAGGAGCCGCGCCCCGGTGCAGCCCAGCGTCGGCAGCTCGCCGGTGGCTCGCAAGAGATCGAGCGCTGGCGGCGAGGGGACACCCCCGGCGGAGCCCCCGGTAGGGGATGGCGGGGTCCTAGGGCTGGGGAGCTAGGGGGAGGGCGTCCCTCGGGGCGGGGGAGCTTTGTCTGGGAGGGTGGAATGTCCCTGGCTGAGCCTGCGTGGCGTGTGTCGGGAAGGGCCGTGCTTTGTACGAGAGGGGATGATCGCGTTTGGCTTTGCCTTTAAAAAAAAGCTCATCTACATCAACTCCTTGGGCAGGCTTCCATCCTGCTTTTAGGTTTGGTTTCACTGAGTCGAGGAATGTGTTCCTTTAGAACGCGACCGGGGTTTCCCCCACAGAGAATGTCAGAAAAGACAGTTTTCTTTTAAGCTGGGGATTATTTGCATCTGATGTGTGTGCTGCACAAGTTATGCTGCCTCCCGTGGCGTTGCTTCAGGCTATTGATGCTCACTGTTGTGGTTTTACAGTACTGTAACGACAGTGAAGAAGACATGTTTGGTGACTATGACAGCTTCTGTGGAAATGATTCTTTCCTAGCTCAAGTGGATGACATCGAACACAAGTACCTGCAGGATAAAAACACGGATGTGAAAGCAGCTGGAGAAATCTCAGTTGGGAATCTTCAGTCAGGAATTCACCAGAAAAAACAAGACAACTTCTCTGCTTCAGAAAATGTGTCTGTCCCTAAAGCTGACAAAGGGGGTTCTTGCGAAGTGCGTGACAGAGACCTGGTGGATGGCAATAGAGAACCAGCTGAATCTCTTTTAGATGACTTGCCATCATCACAACTTTTGTATTTTGAGAAAATGGATAAACTTACTTCTGCTTTTAGGACATCTGCAGACTCAAAAGGGATGAATGAATGTATGAATTCTTCCTCGGACAAAATCAGAAGCCCGTCGTCTTACTGTGCTGATGCTGAACACAGGAACAGACCTATAGACTTTTCCTCGGACTCCAAGTGTGTTTTATTGAAAACTGAGAGTCTTAAAGATCACCTGAAAAGTGCTATGACTGGAAATGCCAAAGCCCAGACTCTGCAGGTCTCTAAGACCAAGCAGCTTAAAGAAGCTGTTTTATCTGAAGAGATTTTTGTTGCCAGGAAAGCTATTGAATCTTCTTGTGTTGATATAGGCCCTTTTTATGGATTACCTAGCAAAGTAAAAGATTTATTCAGACAACTTCGAGGGATTGAAATGCTTTATGGTAGTGTAACTAATGGTTTGTTGGAAAAAAATTGCTATTGGAGTGTTGTCTCTTTCACTTATTACCCTGTAAAAATATATAAGGTAATTTTTGATGTAAACCATGTTGGGAAATAGTTGTTTTGGTTTTGTAAATGGCTGTCTTCATGTTTTAGATGGGTGGAAGAGGTTTATATGGTTTATAGAATAGACTGTGGAAGGCTCCACCACTTAAGACTTCTAGTGGTTTATTGAGGGAAAGTCTTCAAACGCCGGACTTAAAGTATTCCATGGGAAACGTAGGCATTTTGCTATTGGCCAACATGCCCCTGGGATTCCTAACAGTTCCTTTCTGGTTTTTCAGAGTGGCAGCATGATTGCTTAATGTTAGAATCTCTACAGCAAAGAAAGAACTTAATATACTCATTGCCAACCAGTGGTGGAAAAACACTGGTAGCTGAAATAATGATTCTCCAAGAACTACTCTGCAGGCAGAAGGATGTTCTGATGATCCTGCCATATGTTGCCATTGTCCAAGAAAAGGTCTGGATACAGTGTTTCTGATACTGCTTTTTTGATACATATCTTTTCTGATATGCTTTGTTACCTTGTTGCTTGGCTGGTTTTCAGCAAGTCCGTGATTTTTATGAGTATATGGTGGAAAGTGAGTGAAGTGAGTGGCCCCTCCGAGATGCTGCTCTGAGGGTCAGTAATTTTCTAATGGAACAGTCATAAATCATGAGGTGAGAATGCTGAGTTGTAAAGTAAATTTTATATATATATATTTATATATACAGTGAATTTTGAAATAGTGGTGCTTTTTTGATGTTTTATATGGTTCTGCAGCCCAAGAGCTGAGCTGTCCAACTTGCTAAAGAAATGGTCTTGAAATAAAAGCTATTTTTATGGTGTAAAGAGAAAGTTAATTTTAGAGAACAGATGAAACACAACCTGATAACATGTGCAGACACTCCAGTTTTGCAGCTGGAGTAGGTAGTCATAGCTAATATGTTTTCACTAATTCAAGCCATTGATTGTGGTCTGGGTTGATTATTTGTACGTTGAGTTCTTGAGGCAGCTCTGAAATCCAAAATGAGCATGTGTTTGCTCTCTGATGGATTTTTTTTTTTCCTTACAGATTAGGGGTTTATCAAGTTTTGGGGTAGAACTGGGTTTCCTGGTTGAAGAATACGCAGGAAGTAAAGGAAGATTTCCACCAATCAAAAGGAGAGTAAAAAAATCTCTTTATATTGCTACCATAGAAAAAGGACATGCTCTAGTGAATTCCTTAATCGAAACAGAGAGGATCAGTGACCTCGGCCTGGTTGTAGTAGATGAGGTATGACACAAGACTTACTCAGATTGATCATATATTACATATTTCCTATATACAGTAATTAGCAAAACAAGTTCTTTGATTTCTTGGTTTTGTTTTTAGTGTTCATCATGAAACTACTACTACTTAACTAATTTTGTTCTGCATTGGTACATAATTCTGTAAAATTACAAGTTATTTTTCTTTAACTGAAGCACTTGTTGCTGTATCAGAACGATTCTGTATTAAGAGATCTACCACGTTAGTTTTTGATGGTGAATTCCTTAATGACTACTTGTCACTTAGACATCTGTAACAGATTACAAAAAAGCATAAATAATTTTAGTTGTATGGAATGTATTTCATGAATCCCAGAACTTAGCTCCGAAGTGTGAAACCGTGAGACTTTGTGTCTGGTATTAATAACAACTCAATGGAACATTAAAAAAAAAGAAAAATATCAAGTAACATTTGGCTGTAATAATTGCCCCTTATTCTGCTTTTTAGTGATGTGGCTGAGTTGTGCTACTAAGGGTTGATTGTGGGGTTAAATAACATGATGGGGGGCTGAACTTACTTTAGCACAGGAGCTTCTAAACAGAAGGCAGCTGAAGCATTAAATTCTACTCTTTCTGGGAGCTGCCTGCTAGAAATTTTTCTATGCTAAGTGTTGATTAAAACACATTTTGTTGAAAATCGCTTTTGACTGGTGAATACAAAGATCTCCATGCTGACTTTTTACTGTCAGGAGTTAACTGTTTGGGTCGATTATGGTCTAGTTGAATGGAAGGTAGATCTTGTCTACGTTTGGTCTTGATTAAATGCTGTTTCAGTGAGGTTGTACTTCTGGAAGGAGCTTAGCAGTCAAAATTTACAAGCAGAAGTCCAAGAAAGAATCCTGTAGTATTTGGTTAGGTCTACAAAATTTGTTGGGGGTATTTTAGGTTGGTGATTTGTTTTTTGTTTGGTTTTTTTTAGAAATACTCTTAACTCAGTAACATTCTTGCATTTTATTTTCCCTTCTGTGCACAGCTGCACATGCTTGGTGAGGGAAGTCGTGGAGCAATACTGGAAATTACTCTTGCGAAAATCCTTTACACCAGTAGTAAGTCATGGCTGCAGTTCATGTTATTAGCATTTTGTAGTGATGGCATCTCTAGAGAGGAGTCACACTGTTGCTTTCTGGATTTGTGGTATTCTGGCTGCTTTTGAAAAACACGCCATGACTCCGTGCGGTAACAATGTTCATTGACCCTCCAGTGATGGGCTGGGTGTTCTAGAAGCTGTTTTGATACTTCTCTGCAAAATCTTGAGTATTGTTAATTGTCTTCCATTTCTTGTAGGAACCCCTAACCATTCCAGTTAAATGTTCTTTTTTTATGTTTACATCTCAGGTAGTATTTCTTAGCATAGATCCCCCTTCAGTCGGACTACTTTGGCATTTACGAAAGACTAACAATGAATAAGCAGGCCTATGAATTAATTACTGAGCAGAAGTGTTAAAAATTGGTCACGTGACAATAAATTTCTCTCAACTTGTGTTCTACAGAAAATACACAAATCATTGGAATGAGTGCAACGTTAAATAATGTTGGAGACCTGCAGAAGTTCCTGCGAGCAGAGTACTACACCAATAATTTTAGACCGGTCTGTATACAAGATACCATAGACTAGTAAGGAAGATACTTGGCTGTAAAATTACAGTAAATCTTTTTAGGATTGTATCACATCTCTTTTGCTTAATTTCACAGTATAGTGTAATATAATCCAATCTATTGCTTACAGTTGTTACCAGTGCAATAAATTTCACTATGCACTTCTAAATGCACAAATGCAAGAATCTTTGTGTTGTCCTGTTAAGACATTTCTGTCACTTTAACTAAACCAATTTTTAAATTATAGCTACTGATATAAATCAGTTCTTTTGATGTAACTAGAATCTCTACTACTGGTGCTTGTACGCTATCAGGACAATGGTTTATTAATAGTTTATGGGATACAACATTTATCATTCTTCATCATGATTCAATGCCTTATCAAGGCAGATAATTAAAACAATTAACTTATCTAAAAGTTCTTGATGGGGTGAAATGTGTGCTTGTGTACACGTACATATATGTCAGGTGATGCTTAGAGAAAAGCTTTAGCTGTACATAAGCAATAGCTTGAGAGAAAACTTAGTAATTTAAC